GGTAGAAAGAACCAAGGAATGAGATGCGGGAGTGTTTCCATGGTGATTTTGGTTGGCTTTTGAGGGTTTTTTTTTTTTTTTTTACTTGCCTGGCTTGGGTATTTATCACGGTTGAGGCTGCCAGTGTTGGCTGATGTAGTGACTGGCAGAGTGATGGTCATAATTGCCTTGGACAGTTGCTACCTTTGGCTCTCTTTCATGGGACCCACTGACTAAGCAAGCAGTGGCTCCGTGTCTACACACTTGTCTTGCAAAAGCCCCATTGCAACAACTGCCTTGAGCAATGTTATGGGCTAAATCCTGCTTCCCTGGCACTGCAGAATGTGGCCTTGACTGGAAATACGGTTACTGCAGACGCATTTACCTAAATCGGAGTCAGGAGAGAGCATGCCTGGCTCTGATCCAAAATGGCAAACAATTCTATGAAAAGAGGAAATCTGGACACAGACACAGAGGCACACAGAGACTATCATGAGAAGGTAGAAGCAGAGACCAGGTGATGCAGAAGTGAAGACGTAACACGATTGTCAAGCCTTGGGAGAGGTAGAGACAGGTTCTCCTCTAGGGAGAAACAAGTACTTTCAGCCATCATAAGGATGAGGCCACCAACTTCAGGTTTCAAGACACTCAGTCTGCTGCTCTTGGCTCCTGCAGCACGGAAGGCTCAGTCAGTCGCACAGCTCCCTTCCTCTCCTTTCATGTCATCCTGCAGATCTAGGTGGACTTGTACTCTGGATGAGGGTGCTGCCAGAGGGTATCACATCTTAATCTACTTAAAATTAAAGTTCTCATTGCTTCAGAAAGTTGTGCGAAAAGCAACTAACTTATTGGCTATTGGAGGCTTAAGACAAGGAGATAATACCTGAAACTTGAACCTCTTCAATACTCTTGAAATTATACCAGGCATATTGTTTCTTCTACCATCTTTGAGACCCTCCTACAAAAAATATGTCTACACTATTCCAGAGTTTCCTCAACATTATCACTTACTTGTTTTTCTCGAGAAACATGCTTTAACCCAACTATGTTAGGCTTGGCACTTGTTAATCCCAATATAACCATTTGCATGATTTGGGGTGCCATAATTGTTGCAAACTGGTATTAGAATCTTAAAAGTGGCATATCTTACCCAGAAATCTTTGATACTTTATAATAACAATAATATTGTCTGCATTATGCAGTAATAATGGAAATTACATTTGCAAAATAGTTCATGCAAATGGGACATTCTGAAATGCAAGAAAAAGGCAATGCATAACGGGAGAGAAAAATGTGTTTTAGTCACTGCATTTTGGTTGGCTGTGCTCTCAGGTCGAGAGGCAGAAAAGAGTCTGTGGGCAGCTCCATGCCACACTACCTGAGGGCTGAGTGGCAAAGACTAGCCTGTATGGCTCTCATCAGAGTGGGGACTCGCAGACTCTGCGGTCAAAGGTGAGGGTGTCATCATAGTTGGCATACTCTTTGCTCTTTAGACGAGATTTTCATCAAGTGAATACAGTCTGGATTTCCAAATCAAGCATGTATTTGCTTTAATTTAGCTTTATTTGGTTCTCTTCTGGTTGCTCATAATTTCTGATTGATAATTTATTTAAAATATGTCTGGGGGGGATGGAGAGATGGCCCAGCAGTTAAGAGCGCTTGCTGCTCTTGCAGAGGACTCGGGTTTGGTTTCCAGCCGCCATTTAGCAGTACACAACCATCTGTAACTCCAGTTCCAGGGTTCTAGTGCCCTCTTCTGACCTCTGTGGGCACCAAGCATATGGTGCACATACATGCTTGCAGGCAAAACATCCATACACATATAAATACAATATTAAAATGTGTCTGGATAATACATGATATACCCCTTTGTATCTTTACCAGTAGTTTTTATTAAGTTAATGAACACTATCCTTATTCCCACTCACTTTCTCCTGACTTCCTTGTTTGTTCTGTTGTTTTTTTTTGTGTGTGTGTGTGTTTCCTCATGTTTGCTAAGCAATCCACTCTATTGTGCTACATCCCAACCCCACCCTGTCCTTTTCATACTTTAATGTAGTTATGTTATTCATCATATTCAAACTCACAGAAAATCATGGTGAAAATAAGTCTGTAAGGAACCTAAGAAATTCTTGGCTGTGTGACTCAATATAACACATGGTACTCTTTGAATTTTGGGTGTATTCTGTACCAATTAGGACATTTTGTGAAATTTTGATTAAATATTTCTTTTGACAGCTTAATTACCCTTAATCCTGGAGGATTCTGCCTAAAACTGCCAAGATTCAACAAAGCTATAAGAGTGCCAAGGAACTGAGGTTTAAAAAGGAATGAGTTAATTCCCCGGGGCCCAAGTCATAAGAATTAATTTAGTTTGGCCCGTATTTCCATGGAGCCTATCTTTGTTCGGTTACTTTCATGAAGAAAAATGTTGGTTTTCACCTTCCCCATTTGTTTTTAAGTCACTGACCCATTGCTTATTTATAGATGTTGACTCTCCTAAGGCCTACTGGTTTTTGGTTCTAGGAGATCCAAGCAAGAGTGCCAAGCAAGACTCAGGCCATCAGGCAAAGCCCACTGTCTTGTAGCAATTATATGTCATGTCTCTGCACCTTCTCTTCCATGCAACTCTGAAATCACTCAAGGAATTCCTCCAAGGCCATGAGATTCTCATATTCTAACACCATCTGGAAAACTTACCAAGCAGACAGCACTAAGAGGAGGGGGTGGGCAAGATTGATACTGTCCATCCATGTTTATAAACCAGCAAACAGAGTCTTGCTTCTGAAGCTTCTGGCCAGCAGCTTCCTGGGGTTGAGGTGACTGGGACTCCAGTCTTTGTTCCTTTGGATGTTTCCCTCGATCCCAGAATTCATTGTGTCTGGTGCTATCAGACTTCCTTTGTGTGGCGAAATGACCCATTTTGAAAAGTACTCTGAAAATTCAATGGTACTGATTCAAGCACCTCACTGACCCACGTTCACCCCAAAACTTCTTGGAACACTGAGTCACTCTTTCCTTTTGTGACTTACTGGAAAGGTGATTTTTTTTTTTAATGGTCAAGAATACACGGTGAGCTGAAGAGATGGCTCAATTGGTAAAGCGCCTGCCACGCAAGCATGACAATCTGAGTTTAGATACCCAGCACCCATATAAACACTGGGCATGGTGGCCTCTGTAACCAGGTGCTGGGTGAGGGGCACCTGGGATAGAGATAGGGTGATTCCCAAAGCTCATTGGCCAGCCAGCCTGGGCTCAACAGAAGACTCCATCCTGAAAAATAATAAGATAGAGAAAAAATATAATAAGGTGAAGAGACACCTGATGTTGACCTCTAGCTTCTACACAGTCTAGCTTGCACACACACACACACACACACACACACACACACACACACACACACACACAAAACCACAGGTTATGACACACAGACTGTTTATATTTCACTACTGCCTTTCCAGCTGTGGGATTGGAGGAGGTTACTCATTGGGTCTGTTTTCACAAGTGGTAATTAATGTCACTGTCTAGTCAGTGTTCTATTGCTGTGAAAAGACACCATGACCAAGGCAACTCTTATAAAATAAGTTATCTATCTGGGCCTTACAGGTTTCTGAGGTTTAGTTCACTCTTATGGCAGCATGCAAACGACATGGCACTGGAGAGGTAGTTCAGAGTTCTACATCAAGAGTGGCTGGCAGAAGGGAGGGACTCTGGAACCTGGCTTGGGCTTTTGAACCCTCCAAGCCCACCCCCCCAGTGACACACTTCCTCCAACAAGGCCGTCTCAAGTAGTGCCACTTTCTGATCATCGACCATTCAAATATATGAGTCTCTGGGGCCATTTTCATTCCACCCAACATAGTCTCTAACAGAACTACCCTTTCCTAGCAGTGATGTATAATTAATGGACATTGCAAAGGGAAGTATTTAGCTTTGGATCAGGCATGTATTAGTAATGGTACTTTTATTTTATTTTATTTTATTTTATTTTTTTGTGGTGCTGGGCATTGACACTAGAGGCGTCATGCTAGGAAAGTGCTTGGCCACAGAGCCACAGCACACCCTGCCTTATGTCCTTTGGGATGTACTGCGGTTCCTATTATTCCAAGACATTTTGTGCAAAGCCAGCAGAAAGGAGCCGACTCTCACAGCCTGACTAACTACAGAAATAATCTCTCCCGTCCTGTCGTCTTCCTTTAGTCCATCATACCTAGGAAGTAAACCTCATTAAATAAACAGATGTTTCATGGTTTGTTCTTTGCTTTAGAACATTACCCTGGGATGTACTTTTAAAAAGAAAGGGAAAAAACATAGAATAATGATTCTAATACTCGGAAACCCCAAAATCTCTTTCTTAGGCTTCAAATCCTAGCGATGCCTCCATGGTATGATGCTTGTGAGAGTGACCGTGCAGGCAGGGCTTCTCTGCCATTCCCTCTGTGTGACTGCCACAGGGCTTAACTGGGCTCCTTGGAGTGGCGTGCAGGTTGAAGGGAAAGGCTGTAGGGCATGGCACTCTGCGATGAATGTGCCCTGGCTTTTCCTACTTAGGCATCTGCTGGCACTGGGCAGAAGGCAAGGGGGCTGACTCTGATCCCCCCCCACCCCCGCATTCTGTTGCTTGTATTCATTAACAGTGTGAAGGTAGGTTGGAAATGTGCCAGAAATGACCACTTGGTTATTTGAGTTGAAACACACATCTAAGCATCAACATATAAGAGAAAACATGCAATGGACTGTCTTTTGGGGTAGAAAGGTGGGAGAATCTTGAGAGAACTGAAGGAGGGTGAAGAACATGATCAAAATATATTGTATGAAAAATAGTTAATAACAAATTTAAATGGCTACTTGGAAATGACCTCCAACTCTACAAATTTAAAATTTCCGTTGCCTTTGGGGGTGGGTATGATATGATGATAGGGCACAATGAAATAGGATCTGATAGGATACAATACGCTATGATACGGGGTGGTACAGTGAATGACGGAGTCTGAGAACCTCATTTTATTGCTTTGTTTCAGATTGATGTACTCAAGGCAGATCTGGAAAGTGCAGAATGGAAAGTTTTAGAAAACCTGATTCTGGAGGATGTCCTCGGACAGATTGGCCAGCTCCTCTTTGAGATTCACCTCCACTGGCCTGGCTTTGAGGTCAGTGGCAGCGAGAGCAGTGTGGTGCGGTTTTGGTACAGCCTCCTGAAGGAGTTGGAGCGGAAGGACTTCAGACTTTTCCACACCTATAAAGACTTATCTAAGCCTCAGCTCTTCCTGAAGAAAGACATTTTCAACGCCAGCAGCTGTTATACCCTGAGTTGGGTGAATACGAGATGGAGATAGGATGCAGCCGCGCGCACAACAGGGAGAACTATTTGCAGACAGATGCATCCGTGCTTCCGGTCGCGGAGTCACGCCTCCAGCCTCCACTGGTCTGTTTCCTGCGTGATGCCGCAGCGATCGTGTTATAAGAGTACACGAAGTACACGATCTGTATAAGAGTACACGATCTGTATAAGAGTACACGAAGCCTTGAGCTTGACAATGGACAGCGGCTCGGAGGGACATCTCTCCTGGCCCTGCGCTTTTGCCTTTGACGGAGCGGGGTATGCCCCCTCCGCTCTCACTTGGAGGGTAGGAATACCCTGCTCCTGCCAGTTTCTGGTTGCCTTAGAATCCATTATGTATCTATAGCTCACGAATTTACATTAAAAATGACATTTTATTAATTTATACTTGCACTAGATTGATCAGATTTTTTTAAATGCACTGTTCTTTTTGTAGGTTGGGTCACTCTGCCAGGCAGTGGTGGAGCTTTAATCCCAGCACTGGGGAGGCAGAGGCAGGCCAGCCTAGCCTACAACTACAACAACAACAACAACAACAAAAATGGGTCAGTCGCTTGGCTTTAAACTCGCTTCCCTTAAAGTTTCTCTCACCCAGCCAGTCAAAGCCGTGCTCGGCAGTCTGTGGACTGCAGGCTTTGCTTTCCCAGCCTTTGCTGAGGAGGGGCTTGCTATAGCTTTCTAAGAACTGCGGCTTCTAGTCCCTGGGAACTTAGATCCGTCAAGTTCTGTCAGAACTTCAAGAACTCCGGCTCAAAATTCTTTTCACACAACAACAGCTTCTCCTGTGAAGCTAAAGCACAAAGCGGCATCTGTGTGGTTCTGCTGCTGCTGCCGCGTCAGCCTTCAAACACGGCTTCGGCTCCACAGACTTGCCGCTGCTGTCAGGCTGAGGAGACGGCCCAGTCAGTAAACCGCCTGCCACACAAGCATGAGGGCTTGAGTTTACATCCCCTGCTCCTAAGAGCCAGGTGCCAGCCACGACCCTGTAAGCACTGGGCACGGCATGAGGGTGAGCAGGAGACAGGCTGGGGCCCACTGGCCAGGCTGGCCTAGTTGGATCAGTGAGCTTCCGGTTCAATGAGAGGCCCTGTCTCAAAGGTAAGTTGTAAGCTGGACTTACAACTTATTAAAGGCTCACACCTTTAATTGTGGCACTTGGGAGAAAGAGGCAGGTGGAAGTCTGTGAGTTTGAGACAGGCCTGGACTACTGCATAGTTCCAGGACAGCCAGAGATAGTGAGACCCTATCTAGGGGGAACAGGCCAGGGAAGGGGGTAGGTAGAGAGAGGGAGTAAGTTGGACACAGATAGGGGAAGACAACAATGTCACTGTCTTCTCTCTCTGTGTGTCTCTGTCCCCGTCCTGCTCTCTCTCTCTTCCTAGCCCAGGGTGGTCCTAAACTCATTACTTAATGTCTCAGGCTGGTTTTGACCTTTGATCATTTTGCCTCAGCCCCGGGTTTGACTTCTTTTTCACAAAAGTTTTTTTCTTTGTTTAATTAAGCAGAACAGGTAGGTTCTCTGTGGTTCAAATGATACCCATAATTCTTACATACAGGAAGACTGTCCTGTGAATGATTTCCAAAAGTTTTATGCTAATTAAACAATCTCAAAAGAAACCAAGCTAAGAGATTGGAGACATGTTTTTTTTTGTTTGTTTGTTTGTTTTTTACATACACAGCATGTATGTTCACTGCTCAAGACTTCGTAGGAGGCAGTGGAATCCTGACATTCTGTCCCTTCTCCCAGGCTTCTCCTTCCTGCTTGCTTTCACCCTCAGATATTCCTGGTCTCATTTTCAGCTTTTTGGCTTTGAAAATACCATTTTTCAAATGAGGACCTGACAGATATTAGAATAGAATGATCTTACTAACTTGAGCTAGAAGGAGACCAGGATTCCTGAGTGAGTTGTGATAATTTTAAGACATCTGAGGTTTTGATTCTTAAACTTATGGTTGCTGGGTTGGGCAGGGGGTTGAGAAGATCAGCTGTAATAAGCGTGATCATCAATGGTAGCTCAGTCTCTTTAGTGTGCACAGATGTCCATGAACACAGAAGGTCCATGAACACTCTAACACAGTTTGTACAGTTCGTTTGTATGGTGTCTATGTAGTAAATATTCGTGTACAGCAGTGTATAGAGTGCACTAATTTTAAGTGTCCAGTCTGACCAACCCCTAGATGTATACACGTCTATGGCAAGATTTTTAGGGCAAGATTATATTATATTTATATAATATAATATATTATATTATATATATTATAATTATATAATTATATATTTATAATTATATAATATATAATATATATTATATATAATAATTATATATATAATTATATATTTATATAATATATATTATATTATATTATATTATATTATATTATATTATATTATATTA